CCCCAAAACCCCAAAACCCCAAAACCCCAAAACCCCTTAACTATAATCCAGCATTGAAATTGATAATAAAAGTTGAAGAAAACCATACTGTATTTAGAATGCCTTCCATAATCAGACTGTTCTAAGTTAATCTTGCACTTTTAGAGCTGAAAGACCCTCAAAAATGTGTCGCAAATTTTCAAATAACGTTCCCGAGCGACAGAAGCATTAAGGCTTAAAATTTCCTAAATACTGTTAAAATAGGTAGGTAAAATCAATTTTTATGCTAAAATAGCATTTGAAGAGCTTCTTCCTCACTAAAGTATTAGGTTTTTGAAAAAATGTCCAAAGATAGCTATTTTAAATTGGGTTTAAAAATTTAGAAACTTGATAAACACTTGAATAATATTTTGCGATCAAACTAGACTGGGAATCCTAAACAGTATATGCAAAAATTGAGGGCTTAGGAAAAATATTTAGTTGAAAAATTAGTTCCGTATGGTTCTATTAGAGATCAACTCTGTAGTTCCTTGTTTGTGGGGTCAATGGAGAGCTGAATCCTCTCACTCGCTATAAAAACGGTTATGCTAAGTTGAACGATCAAGGGTCAGTTGCTATCCAATTTTCGTTTATAAAATAAATCGCTTTCAAAACACGGCTTTAAGAGATGATAAACGCCATAAGTCGCATGATAGCTTTATGTAAACCAAAGTCAGGACTAATTCTTATTGATCCATTTAAAGTAAAAATTACGACGAGAAACCGAATTCCAGGAAGATACAAAAAGATATCCTACAAATTCTAAAACTGTCTTCAACTATGTCTATATGGGTTTACATCAACTACTTGGGTTATACTTTAGCAGATATCTGATCACTGACATAAAGCATCCTCTCAATGAGCTTTAATTACCACTGAAAGACTAATTTTGTAATTTTGTAAATTTATGTTTGATAAAAGAAGACGTAAGCATGTAAAGAAAATAAACCTAGGTCAATATTGACTCTAGAATTATATTTGGCTTACCTGCTTATCCCCTCTTTGAGGCCTCCGGAGAGGAGTGTTCGGAGAGATCGCTCGGTGTGCTGGACTGAGATTGAGCTCAAAATCTATTGAACTGTGACTCACTTGGTCACGAAGATTGTCTAATCTATTTTAGGTTTAAAGGTGGAAGAGGAGTTAGGTTACCTGACGACGCTTAGGATCTTGATGCCTCTTGGGGTTTTGACATCAATAAAAGAGCAGAAATACTGTTTAATAGCAAGCAAGATTATTCATCAGCAAAATAATGCGAGTATTACAAATGAGCCGAATATTATCAATCTATCTCCAGTAGCAAGGTTTCTGGGAGGCGAAGTGGGATCCATTCCTATAAAATTAGGTTATAAGCCAACTAATTGAACCAAGATATATCAAATAACTACTCAAGTTGAAATAAGACACTAAAAGATCCACAAAAATTCAATAAAAACCAAATTTGCAATTTTTCCACAAAAAAATTCCTATATCTAACTCCCCTCAAAAATACCCCAAAACCGCTCAAAACCCTTCCTAGACCCCTTCAAACCCTCTTTCCCCTGATTTCCCTTCTTCCACCCCTTCCTTCTCCCCTTCTCCCCTTCAACCCCCTTCAACCCCTTTTCCCCACTCAACCCCTATCTCCTCCCCTACACCACCACTTTCGCCCCTACCACCCAAGCCAGGCTAGAATTTACCCTTACTCAGTGTCTAAATAATCTAAGCCAGAATTTACGTGTGTACCTTCAGGTTGTTCTCTTTATTGAAATTATTAATAGTTCGAGCCATGTTTTTTAATTTGGGGTTTTGGGGTTTTGGGGTTTTGGGGTTTTGGGGTTTTGGGG